TTCCTTTCTCTCCCCCTTCAGTCTGACTCCTACATTTTTGACTTTTGGATAATTTGGTGGTATCTTTAACTGAAATACAGAGGACAAAAAGTGGGGATTGGTGAGGAAGAGCAATGCTGAATTTTATTTTGGGTTTATTTAGTTAAGGTTAGGACCTTCTGACGATCAAGGTGTAATACCCCAGCAGACACTTGGATCTGGGAACCCAGGAGAGACCTGAATTGCAGATTTGGGAATGTAAAGATAGCAAGTTAAGTATGAGGGGTTTCAAAAAGTTCATGAAAAATGAAATTGTGAACGATAACGAAATTTCTCCACAAACTTTTTGAAAGAACAGCTTTCAAAGTAAGGGTGAATTGTTGGTGAGGGCTTGGATGAAACTTGAATTATTGACCTCAGGCAAAAGTGAATTGAGAGCCCTGGATATCCACAGACAAATGTAAAAACCTTCCCTAAAAGCCGAGACTGTAAATTCCAAAAAGGCAAGTCCCCCCCCATCCAAAAAAAAAAAAAACCTAAAGAGGATAGAGAGAAACACTGTTAACTGATGATATATGGAGGGGATAATAATCAGTGTAATGAAACAAGCTATATGAATGGTTGAATGTGAAGCTGATGATGTGCCCTGTAAACTTTCACTCAGTGCAAAATAAAAACATTTAATTAAAAAAAAAAAGTGAATTGAGTTGCGTGGAAAAGAAGTAGAGTTGTATTTTTTTTTGCAACTTTATAAAGCCTTACTTGGTATGTTAATAATAACTAGTTTCAAGTTCTGAATATAAATACTTGTTTTATTTATTTTCACAATGCTTGGATAATGATAAAAGCATGTATATTTAACCAATATTAATGTGATTATGGAGTCCTAGTGTGGTATTGTGGGCTAATGCTTCAGACTGCAAAGTCATTTCAACTGCAAAGTTGGTGGTTCAGGTTCACCAGCTGCTCCTTGAAAGCCCTATGTAGGTAGGTTAGCTATGTGTTGGACTCGGCTCAATGGCACTTAATAACAGTACTGTGGTTATGGGAGTCCTAGCGTGGTGCCATAAAATAAGCACTGGACTGCCAACAACAAGGTCGGCAGTTCAAACCCATCAGCTGTGTCTTGGAAACCCTATACAGGGCTGTGAATCAGCACCGACTGATGGCACTTAACAGCAGCAACACTTAATGTGGTTAACCTACCTTGTTTTTAAGATGGATTTGGTTACAGGAAAATTTCTGTAATTGAAAAAGTAACCAGTATTTGTAGCATTACTAATGTTATGAACGGAGACCAAACTCATTGCCATTGAGTCAATTCTAATGTAGCAACCTTTGTATAAGGTCCTGAGGCCATAAATCTTTATGGGAGCAGAAAGGCTCATTTTTCTATTATGGTGCATGTGAGTTTGAACTGGTGGGTTTGAACTCTGATCTTGTGGTTAGCAGTCCACTGCTAATCCCACTCAGGCTCCATAATTCACTGAAATGTGTTTTTTTTTTTTTAAGTTTTTATTGTGAATTGAGTGATAGTTTACATGGAAGAACATTCGTTTTATACTCATCCTACAGTATTTCGTTTCCTTGCAATGATTACTATTCCCTCCACGCGTCCCTCGGGTTTGTTTTTTTTTTGATGTACACAAAAACACTCAGGAATATATAATCATTTAAACAACCCAAGGGCACATTCTGCAAGCCAGCCTCCGTGCGTCCGGCACACAGTCTTCCTCTTTGAATCTAGAGTCCTCAACTGTTCTATCTCCTCATCTCTGCCTCTATCTCTGGTGTCACTGCTTCTCTGGTTAGGGTCCCACATTCTGCTCATGCTCTTCTACTTTGTTGGTCCTGGGTTCCTATGTTCCTGGACTGTAAGATTAACTACTACCCGTTTTTGTTACAAAACTTCTACCTTTACATTTGTGACCATTGCAATTATCATGATAACAGTTTCTCACTATTGAATCATAAGAATCTTATTCCCATCTCCTTTTACCAGACCTGTCTAGACAAGATGAAAATTATGCACTAGGGACTCTACCTTCCACTGCACACTCTGAAACTAACCTTCCTCTTGAAAACTTGTAAGCCAGTTACTTCGTGCCTTTAAAGCTTCCCCATTTTAGGTAGCCAGTGTCTTAAGTTGCCCATCCCTATCTACCCTGTGTACAGAGGGGATGGGAATAATCCTTGATGTGAAGATTCTTTCCCTCTCAGTTGGCATTTTAAGCTACTACATCCGTAAGTATAGGTCAAGTTCATAAAATTATAGCAATTTATACTCATTTCCTTTATCAAAAATTTTTTATCTTCCTCTATTCGAGTTCTGATCATCCAGCCATGAAAGCTAGGTCAAACGGGTACCATCTGCAAGTTTGGGTGTTCTTGTACATTGCCGCTCACTTCATAGCAGCTGGACACTCCACTCTCAGGTCTAGCCCTCTATGGCTATATCCTTGTCCATGGGCCCAGGAGTCCCTGGGTCTCACCATACTTCTGATCAACCAGTCCTTCCTCTTCTCTCTTTCATCTCCAGGTTGACGGGAGTATGTGTCACGTGGTCGAAATCAGCCCATATCTTCATTGCTGCCTTTCCTTCTCTTCCACTCACCAGTAGACCAATGTGGTTACCAGCAAGCTTACATGCCTGCTTGTTTGTTCCCTTTGACTTTCAGTCTTGGAAGGGGTTTGTACTGAAGGGACTTGCTTTGATGGCTCTCCAGCAAACAACTTGCTTATTCTTGTAGTTGCCAATCAGACTGCCATTTTTGTTTTTGATGTTTCCTGCTGGTTTTTCTTTCCAGAAGTATCATTTCTTCCTCTAACTGTTCCATACTGGTCTTGTGCTTTCAAGTGGGAATGTTCCATCTCCAAGGGTTCTGGATGGGGATCAGGATTCCACCTAAGGTCTTACACACTACTAAGCTCTTCAAGAAGTCTCTTTTCACTGGACAAGTTCTAGCACCCTTTTCCGGTATTCCAGTCAGTTACAGGCTTACAAGCTTTTTAAAATCATGTTTCAGAATATTCCTTTCTATCCCAGTCCAGTGTCTGTTTTACAGTAGTAGGCAAGGGAAACCAGTGTTCATAAGACAATCAAGCATCTTAACATTATTTCCCCTCTTCTACCCATTCTCATTCAAATGGTTTTGAAAGTCTTAAGCAATTAAACAATTAAGGTTACATGAGATCTGAAGTTAGATTATATAATTAGACTTTAAATTCTGTGTTTACCTTAACGAGCTAGTTCTGGGACTAATCAACTTTCTTTGCCTCTGTTTTGTAAATGAAATTATTGCAGAGTCACATGTGATATTCTTCAATGTGAAATGGTATATTTTAAAAAATTATACTTACATGTTATAGATTAGGATATTATATATTTTAGCTTGAATCTTTTTGTTGTTGTTGTTGTTAAAGTGGCACTATAGGATAATGCACTGAACCACAAGGTCGGCGGTTCAGACTCTACAGCCACTCCTTGGGTAACCTATGCAGGGTTGCTCTGAGTTGAAATTGACTTGATGGCACTCAACAACAACAAAGACAAATACCGACTTTCATAGAAAGTAATTATGGACAAGTTGACAAAATGATTACTAGGTCCATGAGGATAGTATGTTTTGCATCTCCAAGATGATTCATATTAAGGAAAGTTGTTTTCATCATTTTTTTATAGGCCAGCTTAGATTGAGTCAAATAGGATTTAAGAGTCTATGCTCTTTTGCATATAAAATATGCAGAATTTTGTTTGTAAAATCAGTTGCTTGTAAAATCACATTTCTGCCTAGCTAGAAGCAGACTGTGTGTATGCTTATAAACAATCTGATAATAGGGATTTAAGGTCCTGATTTTTAAATCCATATTATCAGATTGTTTCTAAGACTGTTGTGAAGTATATAGTGATTTCAGGGAAACACATTAGGTGGGATTGTAAGTGGTTAGAAAATTTACTTCTGAGGACTCAGGCTTTTATAAAAGGAATGTTGCTTTTTTATAGTGGTACTTTTTCTGGAACATCTTTGGGTTACATCAGCTGTTTTCATATGTCATGATATTATTAATTTTGAGTTTCAAAATTTTAAATTATGCTCTAAGCCTGCCTATTGCCTTTCATCTTTGCAGACAAATCACCATTAAATGACATTGTTTTTCTATTTTATGTCTTAATGATCTTTATTAAAAATTTTTTTTGTCTTGATTATGCAATATTATATAAAGATGTAAGAAAGAAATTTGAAAGAAAATGGCGAAACCAAACAAATGTCTGTTAAATTCAGTTTTTTTTTTCTTTTTCTCTTGCAGCAATGCACCTCTTGCTTTTTCCTCCAAAGTATGTTATGTTAAGTTTCGTGATCCATCAAGTGTTGGTGTGGCCCAGCATCTAACTAACACGGTTTTTATTGACAGAGCTCTGATAGTTGTTCCTTGTGCAGAAGGTTAGTATCTCACAGGTTTTTCGTATTGATTTGATCTCTGTCTTGTCTGTTACTTACCTTTGGCTTTTCCAGAAATTGACAAGTAGATGTTAGTTGTTGGTGTATGTTGTAAAGTAAGAATGAAATTTGGAGAAGGAAGGGATATTAATTTTATATATTAGTCTTTAATTTATTAGGTATGTTTGAGGTTTTTGCATCTAGACATGTAAAAATTAAATTATTTGGTTCTCAGTTTGCTTTGACTTTCTGTAGTCTTTGTAAGTTAGAAAGAAAGCTTTTGGATTTTAGCAAGTTGTGAGAGTTCTTAAATTGAAAAAAATTAAGTTGGGAAGGGAAATTATTTTAAATGTACTAAAAAGTAAACACTTATCCTTCTGTATATAATATTAATATTAAATAAATAGAAACAATGTACACATTTTGCCAAATTGGGTTAAGTGGTGCTATTTATGCTTATAAGAAATATATTTATAATTTATACTTTCAAGTGTCCTCTTAAGATAATTGACTTTAAAAATTACCATGAGACCATTATTTCATGTTTAATATAATTGTTTGCTCTGCAGCCAGAAATTATTTTTTTCTCTTTAATGACTTTTTTTGGTAATTGAAAAAGATCATGGATAGCAGTTTTCCCAAAAAGGAAGTAGTTGTTGATGATAGGAACAAGGCTAAATAAATTTTATGACTTATACTGCTTTCAGAGCTAATAATTACTACTATTTAGTTTTTAGTAACTTATGTTTACAGAGTCATTCACATATAATAAACTGTGTTGAATTTGACCGTTGTAGTGTTCAGTTAACATTTATTCAGATCACCAACTATGGCATGTGTATGTACTACATGGATTTTAGAGTTGGGTTATTATAATTGAAATATCTTTAATTTACATTTTCTCTGTGGATGGTGGTAACTTTTATAACATTAACGTTTGCTTGACACAGTTACTGAGATTTTATATGTGATGTTTTGAAGTCTCTTTTAGAGACCAGGTTAACCTTTGAAATAACTTAATGTATAATTAACAGTTTGCTGCACTTTCTAGGTTTATGCTCGGTTTAGAATGCCTGTTCTGAGATGTCAGAAACAGTAAAATTAGTTACAGCAAGTATAATTCTGGTGTTTTTGATGTCCTAGGATAAGACATTCTAGATTTTTCAGGTAAATTTGAAAGTTTATTTCCCTTGCCTGAGGGGTAGGGGTATGTTAGAAACAATAAATACAGATGAAAGTTAAGTATTTTCAAAATAATATTCTTATCTGTATGGGGACAGTAATCCTTAAACTGTAAAGTGAGTGGGGAAGGACCTAATTAATGGTTTCATTCTTCATACCTTATAGTGAAATTTCCTACCAAGTAAGCTGCATGGGGAAAAGAAATCAGGTAGAAGATTTATTAAACTGGAAATTAATTACATCAGAAAATAATAATGAATCAGGATATTAATGAAATATACCAACAGCACAGTGAGTTTTGTACTGTGTAACTCACTAGTTAGAAGGAGTCATTTATCAGTGTTGCTTTGTCGAAACTGCTGAATTCCCAAAGAAGTTTGTCATTTATGTATCCGAGAAACCCTGACACTGATTTGTCATAAACAGTCAAGGTTATGGGCATAGAGTGATCTTTTTTGTTAGTTTTGTTTGATAGTGGTAAATAAAATACACATTTAAGTTATAGCTTTTGAGTATTTTTAATATGAACATTTGGGTACAAAATCTGAGCATATTTTTACTGCAGTATGGTTACAAGTAAGTATATATTTTGGAACACTGACCTATAAAATAATTGGTATTAGAAAAATAGTCAAATACACAATTTCATTAAATATGACAGATGACTTTATGGAACCTGATGAATTTCACAGTCAGCTGATAAAAATCTGATTATGCACTGCAAGCAAAGAAATAATGCATTGTACTAAAAAAGATAGCAAAGTAAGTTTGAAATGAATGAAAAGACTTCTAGTAGAGTAAGTGCTATAAGAAGAGAAGTACTATGTTGCTGTGAGCAGTCTTCTATTAATTTCACTGACTGCATTAATTTCTTGATTCTACAGAAACAGCATTATGACAGAAATGAGAACGCCACAGAATTAAGGTTTAGGGAAAGTATTTTCAATTCCTTTAAAATCCTAAATTGTAGAAGTAATGTTTGATGTAATAATTTCATACATATTTAGTATTAGTTGTTGTTAACTAAACATGCCAATTCAAAATAAAGTATACTTCCATTATACTCGTCCAAATGTGACCTTCTTGTTTTTTTTTCTTTTTCTTTTTCTTTTTTTTGTTTTTTGTTGCGTGCATCTCAGATTTCTTTTTATAAATGTTAACACTTAGAAAAAGATAAGGTCAAACATTACAAAGGTGTCAGCCTAATCATCAGTCATAACTTTATGTCCACATTTTCTGGTAGATGGATTTTGACTATTAATTTGGTTTTGTATGTTTTCTCTATGTGATATTTGTGCATTATTAGATGACTAGACTGGCCAAGGCAGACCTGTTACACTTGCCTGAGTTAGGCATTGTTTGCCATGCCACTAAACCTGCCGTCAAGTGAAACCTTCATTGGGGAAATGAGATCGGAGTCTGAACCGCAGAAGATGGACGCCCTGTCTCTGTTTTTTATTGTTTTACTTTAATTTCATTTCTTTTTCTTTATTTTGTCCCCCCCCCTTTTTTTTTTTGTTTTGTTTTGTTTTGTTAAATATCTTTCACTTTAACTTGTGAGCTGATTTTCCAGTTCTTTGTAAATGATATTCCATTAAAAGTTCATAACATTGTGTTGCAAATTTTATTGGAAGATGACTAGCAAAGCTAAACCTTAAGATAAAATATATTTTCAAGTAGCAAATTAGAACACATTGTTGTGAAGCTCAGTGTGAGTCATAATTGGTGTTTATAGATTGATCAGGTACATTTCGTTCTTGAAACACTCAAACACTGGTAAGAATCTTAGGAACACTTTATAATCTCAGTGAAACATTTTTGCAGTCTTTTTTCCCTTAGGTTTTACAACTGTCAGAAAAACAAGCTCAGTAGCTCCTAATATTAATCCTTTCCTCAAGAATTTTAGGCATACACAGTCATCAAAGAAAGTGAGAAAATTTTATATAATTTGAGGCTAGGAGAAAAAAGACTTTTGTTATATAAAATAATTTATTTCCATAAATTAAGCAGACTTTTAGCTGCTTACTTGGGTAATGGGTATTTAAGAAGCTGTTATTTGTGTGTGTGTATTCCTGTTTGCTTGAACTTTTTGTTGACAAATTTTTAGAAGTTGCCAGCTTCTAAAAAGATTCTGAGATTCTGACTAGTACTATCATACTGTGAGAAAGATGTTTTTTCTCTTAAGTTTTCTTTGAGGAATATAGTTTGGGAAAAGTGCTAAGTGGTTATTTGTTTCATATCATATAGTTTGATAGTATTTGGAGGTAAATTTTATAGAATTCTACCTTGGAAATTAGCAGTGGAACTTTTTTCTATTTTAAAATACCTTCAATGGTAATTAAAATAAGCAAAAAGTATTTCCGTGCTTATAGTTAGTCTAAACAATTTCAATAGTTTATTACTGTCATGAAAGACTTACATAAAATATTACTGGTATTTTATTTAAGCCATAAGTAGTTAACTTTTGGTCTGTTGAATATCCCTTTTGTTTGTTCTATAGACAGTGTTGTTTGTTAATTGACAAGTAGCATTTAATTTGTAGGATTACTAGATTGGAACTCTTAATTTCTTTTCTTTTTAAGGTACATAGAGTAGTAAAGCATAGGATTTGTACCTTTAAGGACCTTGGTTGACTTATCAAGATGTATTCACATTTCTCAAACTTGTTATTTAAAAAGGAATAGTTTTTTTATAGTGGATAATCAGTTCTGATATGAATATAGATAGTATAGAATGTATATAGAGATTTACATGCTAACATTAGTTATTAATTGAATATGGATTATTGTTATTTGATGTCTTCAGTAAGGTCTACCTACCTTTTGCTTATCTTTATGCATGTTTAAAAAAATCTGTGCTTGTACCAAGTTGACATTGAGATAATAAAGTAGCTTTTTAAAATTAGTTATTTAAAAGTCGAATAGATTTAGTTTTTGCAAAGCTTAGAACAAAATAGTCATTTGATAAAGCTACTAAACTAATTTTTACTCTGTTCCTCTAAATAAGGCATAACCATTATTTAAAGCAAATAATTCTGTTTAGGGGTTTATCCCTGTAGATTTTACCATTAAAGCCCAGCATGGTGCTTTTAAAATTTAACTGCATATGCTATATTCAGTTTACCATGATTTTGTACTCTGTGTTTTAATAATTTTAAAGAAGTCATAATGGAAATGTGTAGTTATCTACCCTGCAAGTATAAGTAGTTCTAAAATATCTACATGCCAATTTTTTTTAAGAAACTTTTTTTTCGGGTAAGATATATGACCAAGAGAAACTAGTAAAAGTTGCGAGTAGTCCTTATCAAAATTTAATGATTAGTATTCTGTAATTAAATATGGCAAATTGATGTACTTATTTCAGATTATACTTTTTTATCTTTTAGATTTTAGGGATTTCTTTCTTTCTGAGTATCTAAGATTATTTTATTGTTACCATTGTTAATTGTTATTAGTTAGAATGTTCATAAAGAAGATCTTTAGGTTTTAACCATCCCAATTCAGATAAGTATAAATCAGTTTTAAAATCTAACCTTTTAAGAATGTACCTGAGATTAGGGAACCTTTTTTATTGTAATTCTCAAAAATTTTAGCAATGTCCCAAGACATTCTTTGGAACTGGACTCTTTTAGGCATCTATTATACGAGAAGGCTTCTAAAAGTTGGTGAATAAATTTATCTTTTAATTCCATTTTTCCATGAACTTTTTGAAGCTGTCTCTCTTACTTTATGAGATGTCATATGAACTGAATGGGTATGGTGTTTTAAATTGAAGGTGATTCAAGAAGTAGGTGTTTATTTTTCTTCTGTCTACTAAAATAGATTCCTTTGGAGAATTATCAGAATTGTTTGCATCACAAGTAGATAGGGCACTCATTAAGGAGCAAATTTCAATTCGCACATATTTGTTTTTCTTTTTCTTTTTTTTGACTAATTTGGTTATTTGCCATTTCTGGGGATTAAACTTTAAAAAATGTTCTTCTTTTCTGTATCTGATGTTCTGTGTGCTATTAGTGATGCAGCCAACACGAACGGTTGTCATGTGTAACACAACTTTCGATCACCGCGAAAACACCGTCCTGGGAAAGCGTCCATGCTTGATATCGTTTGGTTCATGAACATTAAGTTTCCAGTACAGGTGACCCATAGCTCAAAGTGTTAAATAATTGTCTACATTATTCAGTTTTTAAAATAATATTCCATTAAATGAGATTGTTAGTCTTTGAAGTTTTGCTCACTTTTATTTTTCCTAGTAGAGCAGGATAAAAGGAAAGACTTAAGTTCTTATTTATTTCTTTATATGGATCTGATAGATAGATTCATTTATTATTATTATTTTTTAAGTGCAAGGGTAATTGTAAAATCATAGTGTAAAGTTTGTGTGGTGTTTCTGCTTTCTGTAATGATTGGAATTTGCCTCTGCAGGTAAAATCCCAGAGGAATCCAAAGCCCTTTCTTTACTGGCTCCTGCTCCAACCATGACAAGTCTGATGCCTGGTGCAGGATTGCTTCCCATACCAACTCCAAATCCCTTGACTACAGTAAGTACTGTACTTTAAGTCTGCTTTGAAAAGGAACAAGTGTGCAACTATGTAATCAATTGAGTAAAGATCTTGGAAAACAATTCCATTTTGGATCTATTTTTTTTTTAAATTTAGGAATAGATTTGAAAACTATTTTTTTGAAGCAGTTTCGAAAACTATTTTTTTTCCGATAGGTACCATTCACTTAAGCTCCCTTTTGTAATTACTCATGAAGGAATTGAGTGTTCATTTAAATGAGAACTCAAGTAAATTACTCATTAGAAAATCAATTGTTGAAACTCAGAATTTTAAATCATGTGGGAAACTGGAGGATCTTTGTAACTGGATTTCTCAGTTCATTAGGCTGAAATACACAGTATTGATGATAATCTAGCAGTAAGAAAATGTAACAAGATGAAGACCTGACCAAAATAGGTTTTTATTAGCAGTGAGGTGTTAAATAGTAGTTTAATACTTACTTTGTGATTGTAAGGGGCTTTGATACAATTGTAGAATAATCACTGGACTGCTAACCACATGATCGACAGTCCAAACTAACCAGTGACTCCAAAAGAGAGAGGTGAGGCTTTTTACGTTTGTAAAGATTTTGTTGTTGTTGTTGTTGTTAAGTGCCGTCTAGACGGTTCCGACCCATAGCGACCCTGTACAGGGTTTCCAAGGCTGTAAATCTTTACGGGAGCAGAACGCCTCATCTTTCTCCCGCAGAGTGGCTGGTAGTTTCGAACTGCTGGCCCTAAGGTTCGCAGCCCGATTCGTAACCACTACGCTACCAGAGCTCCTTTTTTGTAAAGATTTACAGCCTCAGAAACCCTGTTATAGGGTTACTATGAGTTAGAATTGGCTCGATGGTAGTGAGTTTGTTTTCTTTGGGTTTTCAAAGCAGTTAAAAAGATCTTACTATTATTGGGACTTTTGGGTTTTTGTATAAAATATTCTGAGCATTTACATTTTTTTCCTCCTTTTGAAAACAAAATTTAAAACTCACCTAATTGAAAGTTATACCTAGATTTATGTTGTTGAACAGGTAGTGATTTCAAACTCTCACCAGCTACTCCTTGGAAACACTATACAGGGTTGCTATGAGTTGAAACCAGCTTGGCATCATTTAATGATAACAACAACATAATTGTAGTTTACTTACTCAAGTAATAAAAGTCGCTCCTGAAATGTTGAAGTGTAAAATTTAAGCCTTTTAATTTTTGCACAATGTTTGTTCTGCCAGAGACCTTTTGAAAATTGAGTATCTGATCAATTGAAATTACTTTTGGAAATTTTGCTCCTGACTCTGTGTGTGTGTGTGTTGTTGTTATGTGCTGTGGAGTCGGTTCTTACTCATAGCAACCCTGTACAGGGTTTCCAAGACTGTAAATCTCTACGGGAGCAGAAAGCCTCATCTTTCTCCCGCAGAACAACTGGAAGTTTCGAACTGCTGACCTTGTGGTTCACAGCCCGATTCGTAACCACTACACTATCAGAGCTCCATATATATATGTATAATGTGTATGTATATATAATTATTATTTTTAGTTTTAAAGGTTTTATTGTGAATTGAGGCTTACAGGGCAGATCATCAGTTTTACACTCAGTAAATCATTGCAATGAGTACAATCCCCTCCATGCACCATCAGCTAACTGTATTTACCTCTGTTAATTTTTTTTTTTTAATGTACACATACCATATTGAAAATGTATTTGTTTAAATGTCCAAAGGTCACATTTTGCAAGCCAACCTCCTGCCTGTAGGCACATAGCCTTTCTCAGTCCATGGGCTTATAATCCTCTGCTTCCTGTCTCTCCTGCCTCTGCCACCATCTTTGTTGTCACTGCTTTTCTGGTTAGGATCTCTCACTCCACTCATACTCTACCTTTTTGATGGTCCTAGGGTCCTCTGTTCCTAAAATGACAAATGCTCCCTCCTTTTAGTTAAACCTCTTCTACATTTACAGTTGTGATAATAGCCATTAGTCCTGATAACAGTTACTCACAGTTAGTTGAATCATAAACTCCGATCCCCATCACCAGACCCATCTGGACAAGAGGAAAACTATTCAGTGAGGATTCTGTCTTACCTCCTTGATTCTGACATTAAACACCCTCATGAAAGCTTGTAAGCCAGTCACTTTGTGCCTTTATAGCCCTCAATTTTGGTAGCCAAATCTAAGTTGCCTATCCCAATCAACCCAGTGTACTGAGGAGGGAGGCAGGCTTATTCATATCAAGATATGAATAATTCTTCCCTTTCAGTTGGAATTTTGGGTAACTTCATCTATAAGCAAAGATCCAGTTCATTAAGTGGTTCCAGTTTACGTTTACTCCCAGTATCAAACTTCTTTGTCTTCATTTGATTGAGTTCTGATCAGCAAGTTATTCAAACTAGGTCAAATGAGTAAATGAGTACTACATGCAAGTTTGGGAGTTCTCACACGCCTTCCCCCCTCCCCCCCCACTTCAGTCCAGCTAGTCACTTCAACTTCACTCTTAGCTCTAGCTACAAGTGTCTAGGTCAGTGTCCTTGGGCTCAAGAGTTCACAAGTTTCTCTGAAGTTCGAACCAACCAGCCCTTCCTCTTCTCTCCCTCATTTCATGGTCTTTGGGTATCTATGGAACATGGCCAGACTCAGCCCATATCTTCATTGCTGCAGTTCCCCCTCTTCTACTCACAAGTTGAACAGGGTGATCACCAGCAAGCATACAAGACTTCCCTTTTTCAGTCTTAGAAAGGCTGAATTTCTTACTGTGATGGCTTCAGGGCAAACAGTTTGCTTAATATTGTCACAGCCAAACATTCTGCTTTTCACCACCCCCCAATGGTCTTTCTTTCAAGAAGTATCTTCTATTTCTCGCTGTCTTTTCTATTTGTATTCTGGTATATTTTACCATACTATTTTATTTCTAGGGTCTTCACTTTTTCTCTAGAAAATATTTTGCTATCCTGAAAATTCCTAGAGGTTATTTGGCAATAATTTATTACTATTTGATTTGTTCCCTTAAGGGCAAATGAGTTTTTCTTAATTCATCGTTAGCCATCTGGTATTATAAAACATAATTTTTGAAGAATAATTTCAATTAGAAATTAGTATAAAGGTAACCAATAGTGATTTAGTATAAAGATGCTAAAGCAAATAGAAGAAATGAGGTTATAAGAGCTGAACAGAAAATTTCAAAGGTCAGCTCAAGATGACAAAATCAAGTATTACAGCGAAATGTGCAAAGATATGGAGTCAGAAAACAAAAGGGAAGAACATGCTCAGCATTTCCCAAGCTGGGGGAACTGAAGAAAAAATTCAAGCCTTGACTTTAATTATTGAAAGATTCTCTGGGCAAATTATTGAACAATGGAGGAAGTATCAAGA